TTGGGCGTAGTTTTTCTTATTACTTCCTGTTGGAGGGGGGCGCTGTATCTTTTGGGGAAACAAAGAAAATTTTAGGATCATGGAGTAGTCCGTGAGGCTGTATCATCTGAGCCAGTTGTCTTGAAATGGTTCTGGATGTTGGATCATCTGGGCCATGGTGTCATCGGAGACCTTTCAGGTGGTCTTGGCTGGTCAAACCTGATGTGTCTTAATCTGGAACAAATCCATAGCCTCTGGCTTTCTGTGGAAACAAAAGCAGAGTCTCTTTTCCAAAGTAACATATCCTTATATCTAAATTTTTGAAGTCAAGGTACCTTTAAAATATACATTTTGGCATAACTCAACAGCTTTTACAATCAAATGTTTTTCTGCAGTTAAAAATCCCAAAGACAACACAATCCAGATTCTCTGTGTAATATTCATCTTCACGTGGCTTATTTTTATATTAATTTTATTGTCTCTTTAAAGACTTTATTTTTTAAAATTATGTATTTGTTTCTATATTGTATATATCACCTTTTTTTGTCTCTTTTAAGCCTACGTATATTTTACACATATTTTAAATTATTACATCTGAATCTGTCTTATTGTGAATCTGTTGCTTTAAGCTGCAGCAGCTGTGGCTGCTGGCTCCGCCCACCTCAGCTTCCCAACATGGCGGCGGCAGTACTGTAGTTTTACGCCAGCTCTGGGAGCCATCGTGGGTCTATGCTTTTATCCAAGCAGCGTGTAGCCCAGAAACCTCTTTTTTTGTTTTGTACTAGCAAAGGCTAAATCCACAATGCAGCTTAATGTGCCACTTGTAGAGGCCTCATTCCCGCCATATGGCGGCAGGTCGAGCGCGCACACTAGGAACCCACCAGTAGCTCAAACTGGCAGCTGCCGCTCATTTGAGAGAGACAATTAGGAACTGTTTTTAGCTCCGTTTTAGAATCCTTTTTCTCAGTTTTTAGGTGGAAACTCTTGCCACCACGTTGGACGCCATTTGTTGCTAGAGTTTTCCTGACTGGCCCACAGTCAGGACAAATCTCTCTCAACCGCCAGTCCCAAGCCGCTCAAACCCGATCAAGTAAACACAGAGACTTATATTGGTTACAAACTGTATGGCCGTGGCAGGCTTCTTGCTAACTATTCTTACAGCTTAAATTAATCCATTTCTATTAATCTATACCTTGCCACGTGGCTTGTGGCTTACCGGTACTTTACATCTTCCTTGTCCTGATGGCGGCTGGCAGTGTCTCCCCCCCCAGTTTCCTGTTCTCTCAATTTTCATTTCTGTTAGTCCTGCCTATACTTCCTGCCTGGCCACTGCCAATCAGTGATTTATTCATTGACCAATCAGCAACACATTTGACATACAGACCATCCCACAGCAAACCAGTCTAGTTTAGTTTAATTAGTGAACTCCAGACCAATGAGAGACCCTTTTTTTTTTTAAAAGGATGAATGGCTCCTAAGCAAGGAAGCTCAGGTTGACCTCTGCCTTCCACACCCATGCACATGCACACAAACACACACATTTATATTGTAGTAACTTAGGGCTGGGATAGCAGCTAGGACCGATTCTTGGACCTTAACATGCTCATCTGTGACATGGACTCATGTCTCCCTGACAGGCGCTTAGTACTTGTGTCCCAGTAATGAGTGTTGGAGCACATGGTTAGCAGGAGAGTGTTTCCACGGAAGTGGGTCACACCTAATGAAGCTAGTGAGCTATATAGCAAGGAGCCACTGTGACTTGTAAAAAGATAGAGATGTTGTGAGTTTGTGCTTTGAAGTCAGTAAGATACTGGTAACTATCAACTTTAGATTTTTAAATCTCCAATTTTGAAGCTTTCCTAAAGTGTTTTTTTCTCCAATTACATCAAATACAAATTCACAGCTCTAAGACTTAAAAATAGTTGGTGAGGAGAGTCAAGTTCTTCTAAAAAGAAACTCAGGTGCCCTGGGAACCTAACGATGCTTAACAGGTAAGGTCATCTGTAAAGTTCTGAAGCATAGGCTAGGTGTGGTGCACACACTTTAATCTCAGCACTGAGAGGCAGAGGCAGGCAGGGCTACTTCTTGAATCCAGGTCAACCAGGGGTACACAGTGATACCTTGCCTCTAGTAGTTTTGTAGATGGTCCTGCTGCCTCTATGCTGAATGTGATGTTTGTTGAACTTTTGAGTAAGAAATTAGCTCCTCAGTGCATTTCTGCTTGTGTGCAATCCTAACCACTGTGAAAAACTCATGCCTGGGGTCTGCAAGGTGGTTCAGTGGACAAGGGCTATTTACAGGCGGTTGGAGGACCTGAGTCTGTCCCTGGGATCCACAGTGGAAAGAGAAAACTGGCTACCTATATTGTCCTCTGCCCCCTCCACGTGTACCGTGATATGCTCACACCTGTATTCATGTCACACACAAATACACTAATAGACAAAACCTTCATGTCTTATACCCTCATAAGTTCCTACATGAAAGAACAAGGTTTGGCTTGTGTTCTTAGCCTTCGAGTATTTGAAAGTGCCAGGTGCATTTTTGAGTTACAGGATTTCAGTTTGCTCTGATGCTCTTGTCCAAGCTCTGCTGTGTTGTACTTTTTTATCCCCAACTTTCAGTAAACCCTAGGTTTCCTTTTAGCACAAACTCCTCAGCTTTCTTCCTGGAAGATATTTCTGTTTCAAACATGGACCTGTTTGTGTGTTAAAGATCCATTTGCATGTCTGCTGGCTGTTGAGTGCACAGCCCACATTCTGTTTCATTGCTGGTGAATGCAACATTCAGAGAGGAGAGTATGCCTGCCTGGCGTTTTTTCTTCTTGAATTCCCTATCATGGTCGGTACTGTGTGTAAACGGTAAACAGCATTGGATACACCATTCAGAAGTGTCAACTTTGGAATAGACTAGATTTGACATTTTTTAGTTCAGATTCATTTCTTGGGTGTCATCTAAAACGAGGACCCTTTCTAGGAGTGACATGAAAACATCTGAGAGGCGATGAGGTCATGCTGCTACCTTATGCATGCTAGTTATGGAAGCAACTCTTTTCTTGTTTATGCGCCTCTTGTTACTCTTTTGCCTGAATATTGACTGTTGCTCTATGATTGTGCTTTAATTTTTAGAATGACTGTGACGTTTGTTTTTGCTTGGAAGCAGTGGTGGTCTTGTATGCTCATTGGACTTTAAAAAAACAGTGACTTGCTTACTGTTGACATGACTTAATATGTGCAGTCTGAGGCATTAGAAAAATCTGCTCTTGAGATCCATGTTTTAAGGTACAGAGTGGAAAGAATAGTAAACATGTGCTGTATGTTTATCAATCAGTTTTAGAGTTTTTAAGTTGAAATAGTTAAAGTTGTCTTAGTTCACTGATTTGCATAGCTTTACCCATTACTGTATCCTTTCTACTTTTCCGTTAGTGTTTTGAGAGAGAGAGAGAGAGAGAGAGAGAATGAATATGAATTTATTTGTATGTGCACATGAATGTAGGTGCCCACAGAGGCCAGAAGAGGGGATTAGATCTCCTGGAGCTAGAGTTATAGACTGGTGAGCCACCCACCCTAGGTGCTGGGAACCAAACTCAGATCTCCTCGAAGAGCAATGTGCCTCTTACTGCTCGGGAAATAATAAAGAATTGGTGTCTTTTAGAATCTCCTCAGAAAATGAATTTGTACATAATACCTTAAGTAGTTTCTCCAATTTTCTTAACATTTATAGACAATTTTGAGCTTTTTCTGCTTAGAGTATCTGGTTCCTACATTGTTGCACGCCCCCCCCCATGCCTTTTGTATGTGTAGGTGTAAACTGTCCCTAGTTTTAAAGAGCTATGAAATTGTAACTTTTTAGGCTATGCTGCCAGATAGGGCTGCTTTCCCTAGGAAGAGACTCGTCTTTTAGACATGCTGTATTATCTAGTCAGTATGGTACACTTGAGACATTAGTTAGCTGGGAGGAAATGGAGATGGCTCAGAAACCCCTGAAGGTGAGTGTTGCCTAAAAGTTGAGTGCATCGTGCATGCGTGAGTGAGTGAGTGAGTGCACGTGGGCGTGTGTGTGTGTGTGTGTGTGTGTGTGTGTGTGTGTGTGTGTGTGTAGAGGACAGCCTCAAGTGTCATGCACCTCCGGTCTGCCTGGCTTCTTCCAGCCTGAGGTTACAAGGACAAACCACCATACAGCACCTTCTGCCCTTGTGCTGCCAAACCATCTCCCCAGGGACAGGGACCCTCCGTATCCCTGGCTGACCTGGAGCTCAGAGAGATCTGTCTACCTCTGCCTCCCAACTACCCAACTACCGAGGAGATTAAAGGTTCACTGTCACATCCAGACCTAATCTCCTCAGTGCTTAATTTCAGGATTTTATATTTATAACCTTCTCGGACCCTGATTATTAATATCTTAGTTGGACTTATTTTTTGGGGAAAGAATATTGTGTGTTTTGGCATCAAGAGATTACCTGATTGCTTGCTGTAAAGATTCATTAAACTTAGGTCTGGCTATGAGTTGTGGGCTGGGTTTTAAATGAAGAAATTTTGAACATTAGCATCACAGATATTTGGATCTTTCTTCATAATGGCATTTTAAATCTGTTGCTTGACTTTTTTACATGTTTATCTAAATGACCTTAAGGTTATTGAAAGTCCTTTAAAGCCTCAGTAAGATTTGGACCTGAAATTAAACATTGATAAAATCACACTGTTGCCACACTCCATCCAGGAGGAGCTGTGTCGTTTCTCCTCACGGTTTTTAGTTTTGTGAAAGACTGATTTTGTAACTTTTTAAATGTTTTTGCCTCTGTATTCATACTTTTTTTTCTTTTTAATGTGATCCTCTCGATTGATTTTTTTTTTTTCTACGTGATGATACAGGTGTATAGAAAAGTTGATGTTGGATATGTAGCCAATTTGACAAATTTTAGTTACAAAGATTTGTTGTTCTCTTGGCCAATGGATATAAATATCTTTGTAAAACAAGGGGAATTGACCCTTGAATTTACCTTTATTTCTTTTTTTTTTTTAAAGCTTTTTTCACTTATGGATATGAAACCTCCCATCTCTAGAGCCAAGATGATTCTGATTACTAAAGCTGCTATCAAAGCTATTAAGGTGAGAATAAATCTTTAATTATTATTGACGGGTGAGGGGTGTGACATGTGAAAGTTCAAAGCCTGCCTTATGGAGTCAGTTCTCATCTTCCACCTTGATGTGGGTTCTGTGGATCCAGTTTAGTTGGCCAGGCTTCTGTAAGAAACACCCTAACCCACTCAGCCATCTTGCCAGCTCTGCTTTTGAATCACCTAAAATTTTATTTATTTATTGGGTTTTTTTTTTTTTTTTCTTCCTCCATGTAGTTTTGGTGCCTGTCCTGGATCTCTGTAGACCAGGCTGGCCTCGAACTCACAGGCCTGGCTCTGCCTCCTGAGTGCTGGGATTAAAGGCGTGTGCCTGGCTATTTAAAATATTATTAGCATCAGAGTTTATTTTGTGAATTAAGTTTTGCTGGAGGTTTGTGACAATACTATTTCAATCCTTATAAACCAGCTGTGAGATACTGTCTTCTTATGAGAAAAAAAAGTCAAAACTTGGGCTTTGGGAACTCAAGTATGTTACCCAGGATCACATTTTAGTCAATGGCACAATTTAGGAATGTTATGACTTCATTTTGGTTCTGTTCTCTACCATGTCCTGATAGCCTGATACCTTGTTTCGTGAAGGTTGGTTAAGAAAGTACGTTCTCCTGGGAAAGGAGTGTGTGGTTTTTGTTTTGATTAATCCCTTTCTCAAGGTTTTTTTGCATTTGTTGATTTTGAACTGTTTCTGACTGCTCTTTGAGTTAATTGCCGGTTAAAAATGTCAAGGCTTTGAGTGCTTTCACTGATTGTAAGAAATGTAGAAATGTATAAACTGGCTGTGACTTTCTGTTCTTTTTCAGCTCTATAAGCATGTTGTTCAGATAGTAGAGAAGTTCATCAAAAAGGTAACTCTTTCATTATTACCGTGTTTACTTATGCTATGTATTTACATGTGTGAACTGGAATTGGATCTATGCTTCTAAAAACACTCTAGAAAAAAGTAGTTTCTGGGGTTGGAGCCATTGCTCAACAAGGTAAGAACACTGGAGGCTCTTCCAGAAGACCTAGGTTCACTCCCTAACACCCACGTGGTGCTCACATTCTTTTGTAACTCCAGTTTCAGGGAATCCTAGGCATTCTTTTGGCCTCTTTGGGTACCAGACTTGCACATGGTACACATACAGACGCACAGACAGAACACTCTTACATGAAAAATAAATGGTTTTAAAAAACAGTTACTGACCTGGGCGGCGGTGGTGGCTCACGCCTTTAATCCCAGCACTCAGAAGGCAGAGCCAGGTGGATCTCTCTGAGTTCAAGGCCAGCCTGGTCTACAGAGCGAGATACAGAACAGGCTCCAAACCTACAGAAAAACTCTGTCTTGAAAAACAAAAGTTACTGAATTTTTTTAAACACAGAAGTTTTACAAGGTAAGTTTTCATTTTACTGACATTGATTGAATATTGACGAAAAGTTTTGCGTTCAGCTTCTGCCCTAGCTGACAACAGAGTTGGTTGTCTTTGTGTTGGGACCTTCCCCAAGCCTGAGGTCCTGCCTGTTCCATGCCCTTTGCCCCATCCACTCTGTTGGCATCAATTCTCCTGTGAGTTTTTCAGATGAACTTCCTGACTCTTCCCTGTTGCCATCGTGAACGGTGGTGTGTTGTCTTAACGTGTGTAGTTAGCGTGTCTTTCTCAGTAGAGAACTGAGGGATCTTAGACATCTTAATCCACTGACTGCCTTTGGGCCGTGAAGTCCCTAGTAGTTTTGTCAGTCAGAAGCTTCTTGTAGCAGCAGATCAAAAGGCAGAGAAGTCAATGGGGAGAACATGGAGTGCGTGTGTGCTTCTGCCTCCTGTTACCATGCATGTGCTCTGAATCTACTGAGGTTTCTTTCTAAGGAAAATGGGCACACTACCTGTTGTTGGCTTGCCTTTCCTACTGAATATATTATAAACATCTACAAAAGAACCCTTGGTGTGGTTGTTACTATGATTTCCTTAGCCACTCATTGCTCATTGTTATTCCTCATTGAAGGTGCTAACCTTAAAGGAAAATGTCCATGCATATGGTTTTCCTTAGCATAAACCCTTAAGGTCAAAGAAGGCTTTGTTTTTGTTGCTGAATTGTCTTCTGTGAAGGGTTAGGCCTTTTTTCGCTAGTGTTTTGTTTTTCTTTCGCCCAGTTTATAGACCCAAATGGCCTTTCCTTTTACACTTTATTTCTCTGGTAAAACCTAGCATGTTTAAAAGTATTTTTTAGTAATTTCAAAAGGTGGAAATTATTTAATCAGAGACTCATAACAACTGAATTTGTAGGAACGTGGGTTGGTAATGGCCTCTGGAAAGTTTCAGAGAGGAAGTCAAGGATCTGGGGGAAAGTCTTTGGAGACTGAGATATCAAAGAATGTAAGTGTTCTCACAGACTTGAAGTTTGACAGCCAGTTAGGTGGCTTTTCTACATAGTGGACAATGGCTGTGTAGAGCTGCATACTCACGAGATAATGGGTATCAGATTTGCTTTGGATTTCTCTGTTGGGGGTCGGGGGGGCCTCAGCATTTTGCTTTGTAGCCCGGATGGCCTGGAACTCACTAGATAGAGCAAACTGGGTTTCATAGAGATCCACCTGTCTCTGCCTCAGGGATGCTGGGGTTAAAGGTGTGTGCCACCACACTCAGGGGTTTACTTTTCTTATATTAACATTGTGTCTTTATCCTTGCAGTGTAAACCAGAATACAAGGTTCCAGGATTATATGTCATTGATTCCATTGTGAGACAGTCTCGTCATCAGTTTGGAACTGATAAAGATGTTTTTGGGCCAAGATTCTCTAAAAATATAACTGCTACATTCCAATATTTGTATCTTTGTCCATCTGAAGATAAGGTATAGTTAATAACTTGTGAAGTTTTGTGTTCTTGCTGTGTGTATTTTTATGTGTTTAGATTCATGTTATTAAATACTATCTTCGTGTAGTAAGCTCTCTAGTCTTTAGTTTCTCTGCAGTGGTCACTTCTAGTCTGGCTTCCTTGTGAAATGGCAGGTTCACCTGGCGTCTGCACAAGGGCTTTTCTAATGTTGGATTGTAGAAAGAACCAGAGTTAGAGAATCTCAGCAGAGCAGTGAGTGCTGGGGAGTGCTGGGGTGTGAGGAGTTGCTTAGTGGTGGGTCCAAAGTTTCAGTTAGGCAAGGTGAAGTTCTGAGATCTGCCACACTTGGTACTTCAAATGAACAGCTCTGTATTTCTAGACAAGGTATGGTTCGTGTTAAATGTTCTTACCCCAATTAAAAGAAGCCAAAGGGTTTGTAGAGGAGGCATTATCTTTAAAAAAAAATATATATATATATATATGAGTAGCTGGGCATGGTGGCCTCTCAGCACTTAGCGGTATCTGCAGGAAGATAGCTAGTGACACCAAGCCTGAGCTACAAAGATGCACTTGGACGGTGAAGAGCGCTGTGCAGAGAAATGACCGCCTCAGTTTGTTGCTATTTTAAAAGGCCCAGAATTGTTCTTCCCACCATGCAGGAACGTAAGTGATACTAATCTGCAATAAGACTGCAACACACACGCACACGCGCGCGCGCGCACGCACACACACACACACACACACACACACACACACACACACAGTTTCACAGTGAACTGTAGAAAGAAAGAAGGAACCTGACAGTCACACATAGTGCTCTCTCAGTAGGTGGGAACTGCACAGCAGTATTAATGAATGAATGCTCTCATAACCTGCTGCTTTGGTTTCCCTGACTTCCTCAAGAAATGAGGTTTATTTGCAGTTTGACCACATCAGAGAGAAAGGATGCTTATTTCTCCTCCCGTGTTGCTGTGTTAGAATTAAGATCCAAAGGAAACCCTAAGGTAAAGGCCAGCAGATATGTAGGTTTAGTTGTGGGACAGTTTACTAGCCCTTTTCCGAGGTGTGAAGGGTTAAGTTGCCCCCTTTACAGTTTAGATGGTCTCTTCCCTCTGCCATAACTCTGGCCCATTCTCTCGGCATGGACTCATGGATACAATACTCAGTAATGAGAATGGAAACAGTTGACATTCATAGAAACACTGTGGCATTGCCGAGTCTCTGTGTATATTCTTAGACTCTTGAAGCATAATTTTATAGAATAAAATCCCTGGACCCATGAATAACACAATTTTGTTTGGATCTCCTTCACACTTACTTGGCCACAAAACATCTTTTTCCTGTTATCAGCCAATTTCTTAAAAACTGCATTGTTTTCATTTGTATTTTGTGCTAGGGTATTGGGCCTCATATTTGCAGTCTTCTTTTTTGAGTGCTGGTGTTACAAGCATGTGCGACCACATGCAGATAGTGGTTAACTGCCTTGATCATCCCGAAGAAATTGTTCATTAATTTTTCTAAGATAATTGAGGGGTTTTTTTTTTGTTTTTTTTTTTTTTTTTTTGGTTTTTCGAGACAGGGTTTCTCTGTAGTTTTGCGCCTTTCCTGGAACTCACTTGGTAGCCCAGGCTGGCCTCGAACTCACAGAGATCCGCCTGGCTCTGCCTCCCGAGTGCTGGGATTAAAGGCGTGCGCCACCACCGCCCGGCCGATAATTGAGTTTTGTCAGTGTTTTTCTTTGTAACTCTTAGTAAAGAACAGTGATAATCAAATAATAACTTTTTTTTATTTACTAGGTATATAGTCTGTCTGTGTTTCTTTCATTAGATTATACCACTGAGGAAAGGTTAATTTGAGTTGTTAAACTAGGTAATGATTTTGATCGATTTTTTCCCCCCAATGAAACAGTAATGGTTTCTCTTTAAAATCAGATATGATAAGCTATTTCTATAAATATTTATTGTATGTTCATTTTTCTTGCATATAACAGAGTAAAATAGTTCGTGTGCTAAATCTTTGGCAAAAAAATGGAGTATTCAAAATTGAAATTATTCAACCTCTTTTGGACATGGCAGCAGGAACCAGTAATGCTGTTCCAGTAGCAGAAAATGTTACCAACAATGAAGGTACAGTGGCGTGTCTGATCACAAGACAGGTTCCTGAGAGTGCACTGGCCTCTCTGGCTCTTTCTTCTGTTTGTTTGTCCTGTTCTGGTTGGTTGGTTTTTGTCTTTATCATGTTCTATTTTTATTCTTTATATGCCTGTTTGTTTTCTTTTTTTTTTTTTTTTTTTTTTTTTTTTTTTTGGTTTTTTCGAGACAGGGTTTCTCTGTGTAGCTTTGCGCCTTTCCTGGAACTCGCTTTGGAGACCAGGCTGGCCTCGAACTCACAGAGATCCGCCTGGCTTTGCCTCCCGAGTGCTGGGATTAAAGGCGTGCGCCACCACCGCCCGGCTGTTTTCTTTTTTTTTTTGGTTTTTCGAGACAGGGTTTCTCTGTGTAGCTTTGCACCTCTCCTGGAACTCACTTGGTAGCCCAGGCTGGCCTCGAACTCACAGAGATCCACCTGGCTCTGCCTCCCGAGTGCTGGGATTAAAGGCGTGCGCCACCACCGCCCAGCTGCCTGTTTGTTTTCTAATGAGAGACAGAAAGGGGGTCGATTCAGAGAGGGGAGGGAGGGAGGACCTTGGAGGAGTTGGTAGGAAAACCATAGTCAGACTAGATTGAATGAAAAAAACTTGACTTTCTTTCTTTCTTTCTTTCTTTCTTTCTTTCTTTCTTTCTTTCTTTCTTTCTTTCTTTCTTTCTTTCTTTCTTTCAACAAAAGAAAAGTTTAAAGAGAATTGAGTTTGTCTACATGAAAGGTTTTGTTTCTGTGTTGGTAGAACTTTCCCATAGGAAGGAAACTTGAATGTGCATTTGGAAGGCAGTTTTCTTATAATTCTTACTTCAAATGGGAATGTGCCCTTTGTCACTTCTTATATATAGTATATATCTTACAAGTTAAACTGGACAGAATTTTGTTTTAGCAGCAAAACTTGAAGGTGTTTTAAACGGGTGGGGGTCGGGGTGTGTGTTGAATTTTTTTTGAGGCCTAATGCCCTTTGCTTTTTAGGCTCCCCTCCACCCCCAGTAAAAGCCTCTTCTGAACTTGCACAAGCTCCCACAAACTCCATGCCTACCGTGCCACAGTTGCCCAGCTCTGACGCCTTTGCTGCTGTGGCTCAACTGTTTCAGACAACTCAAGGCCAACAGGTAAGCTGCTGAATGAGCAAATGGTTTGCAGAGCTAGGTTCTGTTGGCGTTGTTTCCCGTTTCTCCTTCCTACGCTCCTTGATGGGAGAAAATGTCTTCCACCAGAGTAGCCTTCACTAGGAAGCAAATGTAAGGAGTTAGAGCTAATGAGGGAAATGTGAATGTGGAAATAAGGCAATGATAAGGTGGCAGGCGTTGTTGCTCACATTTCTAGTAGTTCTGACTGACTCAGATTATATGGAGTGAAATGTTCTGTATTTCTAGAAAACTTGCTGTTACAATTCCATGTGTTTTCTCTTTTCTTTGAGCTTGTTTGTATCTTTGGGATTGTCAGCATGCATTTTTAACTGTAATCAGTACATTGTAATGTTCATTCACAAATGAAGCCATGATGAAAGGTGGGCTCTGCCCAGTATACTTTCCGCCTATGCTATTTCAGTCACTCTGAGAGTCTTTTCTTTTTAGTAAAGTAACTTTGATGATGATGCTTTGTTGTGTGGTTTATCAGTTTTCCCATTCTTTAAGCTTCAGCAGATCCTTCAGACTTTTCAACAACCTCCAAAACCACAGTCTCCCGCCCTTGACAATGCTGTGATGGCTCAGGTTCAGGCTATCACAGCTCAGTTAAAGACAGCTCCTACACAACCACCTGAGCAAAACGCTGCTTTCCCCCCACCTGAACAAAAAACTGCATTTGACAAGGTACGCTTCTCTCACATCGCCCCACTGTCTGTCTTACCCATATGCATTGTGGGCTCTCTGCATCTGCAGCTTCTCTGATTGTTCGTTTGTGGTTTGATGAGTTTTTCTCCTCAATATCAAAATGTGTTTTTCCTGGTTATACGTGTCATGCAGACTTGCTGTAAACAAGTTTACAGAATAAAGAAAAGTGAAGAGAAGGAAATTCTTCACTAGCCGACTCGTACCTAGCGAGGATGCTGTCGTGTTTTGGTGTATGTTTTCCAGAAGTAATATACTACGGGTCTGAGCTTTTGTTCTGGTCTTTATTGTTAGGTCTGTGTCCATTCAGTGTGAATGGTTATTAAGATTCCAGTAGATGGCGACCTCAGGTTATCTATTTTGCTACTGATAGACATTTGCTGATGCTGTGATAACTGTAGTTATCATGTCTGGGACAGGAGTCCTGGGGTGACCCCAGAATCTCTGCTTACTCAGTGGACCTTGCCATCCTTAGGAGCTCTGTTTCTGTGTGACTGTGACCAAATACCCAAGAGAACAATTGAAACAGGGAAGGTGAATTTGGGTTCCTGGTGTCCGAGAGTTGAATCCGTGTCTGCAGCACGACCACGCGGCAGATGAACCTCTTCAGTTTAAAGTGGACAGGAAGCAAGGGGAGGGGAGAAACCCCTGGGAGCATCTCAGGGTGGAACTTACCAGGCATGGTTTAGATACTGTTACCAGGGTGTGAGTGTGCTGTGGGCTTCAACCCAGACAGCTCGACTTTGGTCTCTTGTGTTTTTGTTAGGGTTAGGACTATTTAAAAATTTCCTTTTCCAGTTTTATAATTAAAAAAAAAAATAGTTTGAAAATCGTAGCATTAAATGACATGTTTGATATCATGATCTCTAAAATTTGATTCTTTCTAACATAAGATATAAAAATTTTATCACCAATAATCAGTGTGGTAGGTAAATGCCAGTTTTCATTATTTTAGCTTAATGATTAATAAGTTGCTACTGATTTTAAGAAAGACTGGATTAGATTTTGAGTAAAAAAGGAATGAACAGGGCTAGAGAGATGGTGTAGTCAGTAAAGTGCTTGCTGTGCAGGAGCGATGACCTGAGGGCACATCCCCGGCCGTGTCCATGTAAAGCTGCGGGGTGCATGCTGGTCACCCAGCATATACCTGGAGTGTGCGCGCACGCGCACACACACACACACACACACACACACACACACACACACGAATAAGGAATATATATTTGTAGGGGAAAGAGAATACAGAGTTATAAAGCAAAAGGAAGCTATTCCACAGTGCTTTGAAAAGATGTGTTTGTATGCTTACAGGTCTATTTCCATGTACAAGTGAACATAAGTTCCTGTGTGCTTTTCATTTGGAAATCTCCCTGTTTTTTATTACCCACCTGCCCCCACCCTCCAAAAAAAAAAAGGGGGGGGTCTGTATTCTTCAAATAGTTGTCTACTTCTGTATCCAGTGTTCGTCTCTCTGGTCCTTCTGTTTTGGTTTTTAAGTGGGTTTTTGTTTGTTTGTTTTTGTTTTTGTTTGACACTGTCTTGTCACACAATTTCTGCATCTTAACAGTGAAAGAGCTATATATCTGGTGCTAGGAATTGAACTCAGGGTCTTAGCCCATGCTAGTACCTGACCACCCAGCACATGTATACGTACTTTACTTCCAAATGTCCCTCTGCTTAATTCTTTCTCAGGCTTACTTGGGCTCTTCATGGTCTTATGTATAGGTTCTTCAGATAAGCCATAAGTGGCATCTGTGATCAGTGGATGATTGGATGGGAAGATTTTTCTTAGATTTATTTTATGTGTCTAAATGTTTTGCCTGAATGTATAGTGTGAACCATGTGCATGCCTGATGCCTGTGGAGGTCAGAGAAGGCATCCAATTCCCTGGAACTGGAGTTACAGAGGGCTGTGAGCCAATATGTGGGTGCTGGGAACTGAACTGGGTCCTCTGGAAGAGCAGCCAGTGCTCTCAACTGCTGAGCTGTCCCTGCAGCCATGTGGAGTTTGGCTTGCGTTAGTTTGTGTACTGTAGAAAGTCAGCACATTTTGAAGTTTTTTCAGGCAGATGAGTAGGCTGTAAATCCTTGTAAAAATTAACAATGCAGATCTGCCTGAGAATATTCCGAGGAGTAGCATAGTCGAAATTCAGCTGGAGTTTCTATGCTGTGGCGTCCCAGAAGCTTCTTCAGGACATCCCAGTTCTTGTTGGTAAGGTCGAGTCCAGAGCCCACTTGCTTGTCAAGGATGATAACCTGCTATACTCCAGGTCTGCTGATTAAGTGACAATGTGATATATAATAGTTCACCTTCACAGTAACATCTGTACTACATTGGACCTTATAACTGGTCCCTGTATTAGATATCCAAGTTAACATACATTACCTATCAAAACATGCTTGTTGGGTGGACAGTAACCATAAATGCATCTTGGGTTTACTGCTACAGAATCTCCATAGTAAGCTAAAATGTTTTGGTGGTTTTCTTTTCTATAGGCCTTACATACTTCCTTGTTTCATTGATCCTTGGATTTTCCTAGTCTTTTTTTAATGTTTCTTAGCACTTTTAATTTGGTTAATAATGCCATAGAGAAAAGGCTGATGTTTATCTCACATTGTAACTGGTTACAGTATTGGGTGCTTAGTTTTCTAGGTGGTTCTCTTGGGATTTCTAGGTAGTACTGAATTTGACACTCTTCAGCATCTACTCCTGTTACTTTTCTTCTTACACCAGCGGTAGGAAACACTGAATAAAGACCATAGCGGTGGGCATCCTTATCTTGCTGTTTACCTGATGTAGTTGTTAGTTCCATCAAGTTTGCAAAAGGAATTCTCTGCTGGGCCTGGAGGTATGGGTGTGTGTGTGTGTGTTCTGTACTCTTTCGTTTGACTAAAATCTGTTTTCAACTAGGCGCTGGGAGCACTTTTATTCAGATCTTCCTACATCTTCCATTTCCTCTAAATCATCGAAAATTAATTTTTTTGATAAACTATAGAGATTCTATAATTTATTCAAGTCTTTTTCCAGATCAATATGTATGAATATTAAAACTTAAATGTATCTTGTACTATAAGTTAGTTTATGCCAAACTGTAAAGTACCTGAAGTATAGATTATATTCAGAAAACACTAGTTCTTTTATAAAGAAATTTGCTATGTCCAATACTCTTTCCACTTGGTTTAGTTCTGTGTACCATGTTGTCTCAAGAAAGCCCTTACATTCGTTCCTTAGAAGTCTGTTCATAAAGTACACCAGTGTTTGGAGGCAGAACAGAACAGAAAACATGAGTTAGGAACTCATGTGGAGACCGTGAGCACAGGAGGCAGAGCTGGAAAGAAAAGTGTGCACATTGGAGCCTGAGCACAGGCATTTAAAGTATAAAAGACCAGTGTCCACCCGTGATTCAGCGTTCACCAGCTGTGGTCTGCTTTATGTTTCTTAACCTCCTGAGCCTTGAGTTCCTTGTCTATATCAAAAAATAGATCTATATTGCAGGTTTTTTATGATTACAAAATATAACTAACTGTTCAGTGTATTGCATTTCCTCTTTTTAATAAGGTTAATTTTTTTGTAAGTTACAATGTGTGGGAGTGATGTATGTATGCCATGATATACATGTGGATGGAGGTCAGAGGACAGTTTCATGGAGTCCCCCCCTCCCCCACTTTGGGTGGTTTCCAAGGATGGCTCTCAAAGGTGTCGAGCTTGCATGACAGGCAGTTTACCTGCTTGACCATCACCCTGGCCTAATAAGGTTTATTTTAAATGTAAACTTAGTTTAATTTTACTGTTATTTTTAACTTTTTATCTTAAAATACTATTATTTTTATTTTTAATTTTTATTCTAGAACTTGTGGATTATTTGGATATTTTATTTTTAAATTATTTTTATTTTATGGGCATTGATGTTTTGCTTGCATGTATGTATGTCTGTGTGAGGGCGTCAGATCTTGGAGTTACAGACAGTTGTCAGCTGCCATGTGGGTGCTGAGAATTGAACCTGGGGCCTCTGGAAGAGCAGTCAGTAGTGCTCTTAACCACTGAGCCATTTCTCCAGCCTTTGTTGCTTGTTGTTAATGAAAGTTTCTGGTAATTGGTGTAAGCTGTAAAGTTTTGAGAAGGAAGCTACTCAAGTAAACAGCTGCACCATAGTTTTTCCTTTCATTATATTCGCATATTCTTGGCCAGGCAGCCTGTGGAGATACATGGCTAGCTGCCTGGAAGCACACACCTGTTTGCATGTACACAGAGTCTAGAAGCTTCAGTCTAAGCAAATGGATATTTTAGATACATAAGTGTACTGCTAAATTTATGATGAAATAAGTAGATAATATTCAGAAAGAAAATACAGCTTTTGTAATTGGAGAAGGAAAGTAGAATTTAAAGTTGTATCTTTTCTAACGTGGTGTTTATGTCAAAATTGTCTATCTCTGGACCAAGCTCCCCAGGACATGCAGGAGAAAAAGAAAGGTGTGCACAGCATGGTAGGGTTGTAGCTGATGTAGTGTTTCTGGTTTGGTGACTGTCTGTATTTTAAGTGGAGCATTGCTGTACACGTTACAGAAGCTGCTTGATAGATTTGATTATGATGATGAGCCTGAAGCTTTGGAAGACGCAAAGAAAGAGGATGCGACTGTCACTGCTGCAGCCCCTGCTGCTGCCACTCCTGCACCCGCTGTGGCCACACCTGCTGTTGCTCCTGCTGTGGCCGCACCCTCTGCCACCTCTCCCCCTCCTCCACAGGTGCCATTGTGAGTTCCTTCTTCACTCCTTGATAGTTGTAACAGTTAGAGAGCATACCCTAAGCAACAATCAGGATTAAAACACATTTCTGTGGGGTCTTTCTTCTGTGAAATTATATTAAGAGAATTTGTATCCTTTTCAGAATTTAGAATTTTAAATGTGGCTTTTATGTTGGATTAATATTTGTTGATTACCTGGGACTCCTTAGTGGCAATCTGCAATGTAAATGTGACTAAGAGTCTTACGTGCTTTTGAATGAGTAATAAAAGTACTCACCTTATTTTAGTGGCTATCCTGGGGACAGCTTGCAGCAGCCAGCCTACACACAGCATCCAAATATGGATCAGTTTCCACCTCGGATGATGGGAATGCAACAGGATACAGTGCACCATCAGGTACGGACATTTTTCTTGTCTTGAGTTTTGTGAACTCAAGATCTGTTCTCAGAGACCTGTTTGTACCTCTGAGCACTGTTGTTACTGTGTAATTTGCTAAGAGAACTGCAGCTCCAATGAGAGCTGTGGAATGACAACTATTTTGAGTTGCTTTTTATCTTAATTACAAGTTTATAAATATAACATGTTCATCTAATAACAATAGATATTTTAGTTAGAATAGTTCAGTGATATTACAGTTCTCTTTATTTAAAGACACTCCTTAGTCATACAGCTATTTCCTTTGCTGGAAGGTCTCTTTCCTGTTTGTGCTGTGATGATTGGCTACTGTAAAGGGCTTTCAAGCTTGGTGTGGGTAATATAGATAGTTTGAATTATGCAACAAAAATATATATAGCATACTGGAGAGTTAGAGAATAGGGGTTGGGTCATCAGATTTATTTTGCTACATACTGTAAGCTCACTTTGCTGTGAACCTAAATTAGGGATGGGGTGGGGGCTTTAAAGACACAGAGCCTGCGCCCCCCCCACACACTATAATCATTCCAGATAATCTAGGGAGTTTTGTTTTAATTTTGTTTTTTCCCCCGAGACAGGGTTTCTCTGTGTAGCTTTCTCCTTTCCTGGAACTCATTTTGTAGACCAGGCTGGCCTTGAACTCACAGAAATCCGCCTGCCTCTGCCTCCCGAGTGCAGGGATTAAAGACATGCGTCACCACCGCCCAGCTTGTTTGATTTTTAATACTACAATGATTTTCATATATAACCAGCCTTGGGAAACATTGCTTTATAGCCTATGAAAAGGGTGTCCAGATACATCCTTAGACTGCGAGTTTTTTTGTCTGTATTATTTCCAGGTCATTCTTTCATTTGATGACATATAGTTGGTACTGTGATTTTAATGGCTTATTGAGGAGGCCTGTTTAAATAATGAAAACACATGAACATACCGCCAGATATTAGACATGTATTACCACCAATTTCTTTTTGTTGGTTGGTTAATTTTTCAAGACAGGATTTCTTTGTGTAACATTCCTGACTGTCCTGGAACTCACTATGTAGTCGAAGCTGGCCTCAGACTCACAGAGGTTTACCTGCCTCTGCCTCCCAAGTGCTGGGATTAAAGGCATGCGCCACCATGGCCCAGCTCTACTGACAATTTCTAAATACTTATAGAAAGCTATTTTGGGACATGATTAGTTGTATTGGTGTTGGCATTGTACATGCAGAAATGGCAGATTGTGCTTTGCTATTACATTGTGACTTTTATTTAGATTTTTTTTTAAATTTCACACATAGTTAGGTATGGTGTTATCACACGGTCCCAGGATTTGAGGAACTGAGACAGAAGGATTGTATGTTTCAGGCCAGCCTGGGTTATACTGTAAGACCATTTTAATTTTTGCTTGTTGTTTTGTTTTGAGCTTGTTTCTGAGATAAGGTCTTACTGTGTATAGTTCTGTCTGTCCTAGAATTCCGTTTGTAGACCAGCCTACTCTTTAACTTACGACACTCAGGTGAGCACCATCATGCCTAGCAAACAAAATACTTTGTTTTCCAGGAATCTAGAAATGGCAGCCATTTTCCCTTTTAGTATAAAAGCTTAATTACTGTTAAAAAGTTGAAGGAAGATGATTTGTGATCAAGTACCTCTGGCTAAGGCTACACTGTCATATTGCTACCTTGGGTAAATAAAGCTGTGTCTTGAATCATTGTTGAACACTGAGTTGTAAACCTGCCATCTGAGTCACACTTGAATATGTGATGATGATTTGGAGAAAAGTTACACATACAGAAATCAGTAGCTTTTCTTTCTTATATAAAATAACTTTTCAAAATTATTTTTGATTACTGTTACTTAACATAGATTTAATTCTTCTTTAAAATGAAAGGTTCCACTTCCTCCTAATGGACAGATGCCAGGCTTTGGGCTTCTCTCTGCACCTCCATTTCCTCCCATGCCTCAACCTGGGATGGCCCAACCTGGGATGCCTCAGCCTGGGATGGCCCAACCTGGGATGCCTCAGCCTGGGATGGCCCAACCTGGGATGCCTCAGCCTGGGATGGCCCAACCTGGGATGCCTCAGCCTGGAATGGCTCAGCCTGGGATGCCTCAGCCTGGGATGGCCCAACCTGGGATGCCTCAGCCTGGGATTCCTCCAACTCCACCAGTACAACCAACTTTCCAATCTACTTTTCAGCCACAAAATGAGCCTCTTTCACAAAAGCCACATCAGCAGGTAATAGTTTCTTGGGTTGATTTATATGCACATTCCTTCTTCTCTGCCTGCTGTTTCAATTTTTCAATATGTTGAAGATCTTTGGGCACTCATTAATTCTTTGTTCTAAGAATTGTGTGGAAGGTCCACACAATACTATCAACTGTGAGGATTAAAGCTAGTGTGTATAGATTCAACCAGAGCCTAGTTGACTGTGTTTTATGGTGCTTTGTTAAAAGTGTAATTTATACCGAGAGACTTCCAGAAGTAGAACGCTCCCCCTGGGTTTGCATACCATACAAAAGATTTTCTTTTTCTTCCAGTGGTGGCTAGTCATTGTTTGGTCCAACCAGAAAGTTAGTATTTCTAAGATTTTGGCCTCTTGTCCTTATGATTTACAGAGTCCTCGTTTTCTGATATTTTTATTTATTTTTCTTTTTTAAGGAAATGGAAGTAGAACAGCCTTGTATCCCAGAGGTTAAGCGGCACGCACCTGAGAGCAGAAAGTCAAGATCTAGGTCAGCATCCAGGTAACTTACAGGAAGGCTGCAGCTCTGTGTCTGAGGAAGACAGAAGAGTCGATTGCACTGGTGGTTTTTTTGGGTTTTTTTTGGTTTTGTTTTGAGTCTCACTGTGTAGCCCTGACTGGCATGGAACTCAGTATGTAGATCAGGCTGGCCTTGAACTCAGAATAGTCCACCTGCCCCTGCCTTCTGGGTCCTGGGATTAAAGGTATGTCCACCACACCAGCTTTAGGTTTTTCTGATATTCACAGTGTTAACAATAACACTTGGTACGTGAGGAGAAGGCATCAAAAGTAATGTTTTTTAGTCCCGTCTGGTGCTGTAGTTAGTTGGTAGAGTGCTTGCCTAGTGTGCCTAAAGCCCTGGGCTCAATCATTAAGTACTGCATGGTCTGGCGAATGTCTTAACCCCAGTGTTCGGGCATCAGAAGTTTGAGGCCAGCTTGGAATACATGAGACCCTGTCTTAAAAAAGACTCAAAAAAGTAAAAATGTTTTCAATTCCAAAGCACCTTACCTGCATTTCATCTGAGTTGGTTTAGTACCTGTGAGTATGTGGTTTTTGTGCAAGTTGTGTGTTCAGCGTTACCGACAGATGTGGAAGTATCATAGCTGTGTCACAGTTCAAGTGTGTTTTTAATTGCTGAAGAGGACATTCTTAGAAGAAGGTGTAGTAGCAGCCGTGTTTCCAGCCCTGAGGACCAGCTTCTTAACCACACAGATGGAACTGGGGGTAGTGTTAGAGATGTTAAACAGAGAGTACAGTTGTAAGTGGTCCAGCCATATTATTTTGTTTCAATTATATCCATGCATTCCCTGTTACTGAGTTCTTACAGATCCAAACATTCACTCACCTGGTTATATTTCTTTTTTCAACTTACTGTATGCATCTTTCCCTTTTTTCTTTGTACTACCCATCTCCTTAATGAAAATGTATTAGGTCACCAAAAAGGAGAAGATCTAGATCTGGCTCTAGGTCTCGGAGATCCCGCCACAGACGTTCTCGGTCCCGATCCAGGGACAGGCGCCGGCACTCACCTCGGTCTCGCTCTCAAGAAAGACGAGATCGAGAAAAAGAGAGGGAACGGCGACAAAAAGGCCTCCCTCCGATGAAGGCGGAAACTGCAAGTGGTGAGTGGTGAGCCTTTCTTCACACCTGTTACTGCTTTTTCATGTTGTGGGTTTAAGATGTTTTATGACTGTTAGCAAAGCCATAAGTGAAACACTGTTGTCATGGTTACGTTTTATTCTGAATAGTGCTGCACAGATTTGGTGCTTTTCTATACGAGAAGGTGCCTTTCCATCGGTATAACTATGTCCCTCTGACAGAGGTTTAGCAGTTTATAGACTAGGTTAGCTTGTGTTACCTCTGGATTTTCATCATTTGTAGAACATGTATAGTAGAAATATTCTTGTTGTAAATCAGTAACTATTACAATTTAATTCATAATAGTGACCAGGATGTATTTAAAATGAGACTCATACATAGGAGACACCATAAAGAAAGTCGAGTTAGAAGTGGATGGCTGCGCAGATTAAAGGCTGGGTTGGTTAGTAACAGAGACTTCGGTTCAAGTCCTTGTTCTGTGCTTTGCCAGCAGATAGTGATAGGCAAGACACTGCTGTGGGGGCCTGGGTGTTCATGGGCATTTTTAGGTCTAGTCACAAAGACCATTGTTTTTTCAATTTCTGTGTCCTGGTTTAATTTCTAAATACCTAATTTTCTAAACTCTTTAAATTCATGTAATTTATAAATAGGATTTCCTATTTAAACTTTGGGCATTGTAATGTCATGCAGTAATGACTTGTAATGATGTGTTGTGCTACTTGGGTTAAAATGAGTGTTTTCATCACTGATTTGTTTTCAGTTTGTAGTACCACACTGTGGGTGGGACAACTAGACAAAAGGACTACCCAGCAGGATGTTGCCAGTCTCTTAGAGGAGTTTGGTCCAATTGAATCAATTAATGTGAGTACTTACTCCCCTAAAGGTGCTAAGCAAGATGCGCACAGTCATTTTTGAGACTGAGGCCTTGAGCTCTGAGGCAGAATGTACATGGGTTTGTGGAAGGCAGTTACAGGCTGTGCTGCTCCTGGTCACCTTAACATTCTCTGTAGTTGACGTTTCTTGAACAGCCATGTTTAAGTTAAAATATCTTTCTAGAAAAGCCTGTAACAAAATTTGCACAGCTTAATCAAAACCAAACTTGAATTGCCAACTTCAATGAGTTTAACCCTACAGGTCGGTCTTTTCGGTGGTAGTGTTGGGGGCTAAAGCTTTGTGCATGCTTGGCAAGTGCTCGGCCGCTTACTGGGCTATAAAGCACTGATGGGAAGGGGCTCCAGCTGCTGGCTGAAATCTGTGTTGTCTTCTTTGTTATTGCCATTGCCTTTTGTAACATGGAAATGTTTTGGACAGATGATTCCTCCCAGAGGTTGTGCCTATATTGTTATGGTTCATAGGCAAGATGCATACCGTGCCCTGCAGAAACTGAGCCGGGGAAACTACAAAGTGAATCAGAAATCCATAAAGGTACATTTTTACCATTTATAAAAGGGTTTAATATAGAATTACATCGGGGTTTTTTTGTTTGTTTTGTTTTAACTATAATTTTGCTGTTTGGGAATAGCTTGAGACATAAAAGCCTCGTGAAAAACAATCACATGTTATGTGACAATTCCCTTAGTTTCTTTTTAATTAAGAAAGTTTTTTTTTCATGCAGTGTATTCTGATCAAGCTTTCCTCCTCCGAGACCCTACCCCCACCACCAATTCCATACCTATGCTCTGTTTCTCTTTCAAAAATAAGCAACAACCCAAAGGGGAAGCACAGAAAACATCGCACACTCCACAGATGCAGAAACCAAAACACACAAGCAAAAGATCAATGAGACAGAAATGCACAACAAAGACCAAGTCTACCCCACCCCCCCCACCCCCCCAAAAAAAGGAAGAAAAATAAACCTGAGTTTAGTGTGTACGACGTCCACTGGCATGGGGCCTCCCTGGAAATTACTATCCCCAGGGAGGCTCTACTGAAAAAGGATTTTCCTTTGTAAGACGATGTCAGTTACAGATGAGTTCTTGGTTAGAGGTGGGAGCCAATGTCCACTTCCCACCCTCAGTGCTGGCACCCTATCTGGCTTGAACCGGTGCAAACCCTGTACACGCCCCCATGTCTCTGATTTTATATGTGCACCAGTCCTGTTTCCTTGGAGTTTCGATCCCCTCTGGCTCTTACAGTCTTCCACATAGTTCCCTGAACCCCGAGGGGGCGTTTGATGACAGTTCCCATTTAGGACTCTGGGTCTCTGTGTTATCTCCCATCAGTTGCAAGAAACAGCTTCTCTGATGGTGGCTAAGCAAGGCACTGATCTGTGGATATAGCAGAATCAAGCTAACGTAAAATTCTTAATGATAAGATTTTTTTTTTTCCAAATAAAGTGCTGAATTTAACCAGGCTAGGTAAGCACTCTGTCACTTAGCCATTCCTCTAGCCAGCTTATTTATTTAAACAATTGTTTAGAAACAGGTCTCAATAAACCAGGCTGGCTTGAACTCCTGATCCTCCTCCATCCACCTTCTAAGTACTGGATTATAGCATGCAATACCACATCTATCTTGCTTTAACTGGAGCTTTAAAGATAATGTTTTCTAGTAAAATACTTTCTTATATTAGAAATGTGGATATTCCACAACTTAAGGGTTGCTATCTCTTCTTAGATTTAACTGTTAAAACTATCAACAAATATAAAGAAAAAGAGGAGCACACAGACAACCATCCTCTGAAGAGTCCGACTCAGTGTTACCCTGAGCTAGCACCTTGTTCTACCCTGGTGTGTGCTGTAAAACGATGTTGCCACATCTGTAAACTCTGAAAAGTGGACCCAGTGTGCCAGGCTTCTCCTTGATGAACTTATTCTTTCTCTGTTGTGTGCTGGCTGTGGAGAGATTTGCCTCAGATTTCTGTCTTGAGGCAAAGTGGGAAGACAGGATAACCACTAATCAATCCCATGTCGAGGAGAGTCTTAAGTAATATCCAGGGGCAGCAATCCAGGTTGCTCCCTGGCAGCCTTGTCCTGATGAGTAGAGTGATGGGAAATGCTGAGCTCTGAAGATTTATGACCCACTTTTCCTTTCTTTGTGTATTTTTCACTGGTTATAGATTGCCTGGGCCTTAAACAAAGGAATAAAGGCAGATTATAAACAGTATTGGGATGTTGAACTGGGTGTTACTTATGTCCCGTGGGACAAAGTCAAACCTGAGGAGCTGGAAAGTTTCTGTGAAGGAGGAATGTTGGACAGTGACACACTTAACCCAGGTAAAACAGTGTTTAACTTCTTTCACAGTTGATAGTCATGTGACAAATCAATGTAAGTTTCTTCTTTGCACTAGGAAGAATTTTGGGGTGATCTTAAAGTTGTAAATTGAAGTTACGGTGACCTTTATCTGTACAGCATGGTTAGCGGGAGAAATACAGACACTTGTAAAATGCTGATTGAGACTCATCATTAGTTAGAACTTTGGCACTGGAAACAGACTACTTAGTCTCCAATTGCCCATCATTGGTACAGACCAAGCATCAGGAAATGCCCCAAATCCAGAACACTTTCAGCACCAGAAGCATCTCAGGATTCGGGCTCTTTGATTATAGATGCTGTACCAGTAAGATAGGAGTGTTTAAAACCCCACTTTGTGGTGATATTTAACTCTATATTATGTTTTAATTCATGCTTCATAATAATTTCTTTTGAGAAATTTAAACATCCAGAGAAGACACACACACATGTATTAGGAAGTTGAGCTGTTTGTGGATACGAATGTTATGAGTGCCGAATTAGTGGTAAGATTGTGGTAGGAATAAAGGATGTTTAAGGAGTGTTGACTTGGGCTAGAGATATGGCTCAGTGGTTAAGAGCACTGGCTGCTCTTCCAGAGGACCTAGGTTCAATTCCCAGCACCCACATGGCAGCTTACAACTGTCTGTAACTTCAGTTCCAGGAGATCTGACATCTTCATACCAATGCACATAAAATAAAATGAAATAAATTATTAAAAAGAAAAATGTTGACTTGACAAGCAAAAGAGGGAAAGTGATGTGGTGCTGCTGAGATGCCCTAGCCCTTTGTGTAGTGCATGTTTCCACACTTCAGATGAGCCTCCCCAGCCCGGTGGGCGCCAGGGGAAGAAGAAGGAGGAGGGGTCCTAGGAGGTCATGGATGAGACAGAAAGTTACTAATCAGTTAAGCCCAAGAATCCAAAATGGTTTGACTTGCCTTGAAGATACTAAAGAGGTGGAAGGGTATCTACATTACTTTCAAGTGTTAGGGAGGGACTGAGCATATAGGTGTCAGAGCTGGACATGTCTGGTTGGAACCATCCATTCTGCTCACGGATTTCTGTTGCTATTTGTTAATTTAAACAGTTGCTAAAAATTAGCATAAAGTTTCTTTAATGAAGCTAATATTTCCTAATCTTCACTTTTCATTGCTGTATTTAAAGTTGTAGATGAAAATAGTAGTAAACATTTCTTATTGTATTTCTGTAATTCATAGATTGGAAAGGAATCACCAAGAAGCCTGAAAATGAAGTTGCCCAAAATGGAGGAGCAGAAGCCTCCCACACAGAACCAGTGTCACCCGTACCTAAACCTTTGCCTGTACCCGTCCCTCCTATTCCTGTTCCTGCGCCCATAACAGTGCCACCTCCACAGGTAGGAATATCGAGGGCATGATTGAAACCTTTAAGGGTCTGAAAGATTGCTTTTTAAATCTTCCTGTTCTGTCTAAAAAATGAATCAGTGGCCGTACTAGTTTTTCATATTTTGGTATATTGCATCTATTTTTGAACTCCCACTTTTTTTCATAAATGTTAATAAAACCAGAATAAATTTAGATTGTTTCACAAGTATGTGAATTACTCAGTGCCCTGACTTATAATGTCTTAGATATGAAACCCCAAAACCACAAGTAATTTATGTTATTTTTGCTTTTTATTAGGCTGTCTTCAGGGAGTTATTCTGTTCTGAACTCAGATACACATACCCGAGTCCCAGCTGCTTTGTGAAAAGGAATCATTTCCTTTTTTCTTTTCTTTTTTTTCTGTTTGTTTGTTGTTGTTGTTGTTGGTTAGTTGGTTGCTTGGTTTTTCAAGACATGGTCTTGCCATGGAGCCCGGGCTGCTCTCAGACTTGCATTGCTTTGCCTCAGTTTCCCAAGTGCTAGGGCTACATGAGCCACTGTACCTGGCTTACTGATAATTTTTAAACTACAGTTCACAGTTGTTAGGTGTTCGGTAAGTGTCATTGAATGTGTATGAACTCATTCAACCTCATACTTAGTTTAACTTCTTGTGTTCCCAGCTTCGAAAGCCTAAATAGCCAGTACAGACAATTTGACTGGAGGATTGTTGATCTTAGCCTACTACATAAATTGCCAGCTATCCTTTCTTAGACCTATATCTCCCAATTTTTAAAAAATTCAGTCTTGGAATATTTTTAAATGTTTCATGCTGTCAGAACATCAGTGGGTGCCAGTGAAATACAGTGTGAGTGGCCATCTTACAGGAGAAAGCAGAGCTTAGATTTATAGCATTTAGGTAGTCACAGGTTACCTATCATCTTTTTAATCTAATAAACGTAGTGGTATAATAAAATTTTCAAAGCACCTGCTTTTATTTTCTTGATGCACTACACTGTATTTGAGGGCCGCTAGATGTGTCTTGTGTTTGTCTTTCCAGGTTCCACCTCATCAGCCAGGTCCTCCTGTAGTTGGTGCTCTCCAGCCACCTGCTTTCACACCTCCCCTAGGGATCCCCCCTCCAGGCTTTGGCCCTGGTGTTCCTCCTCCTCCTCCTCCACCACCGTTTCTGCGCCCAGGATTTAACCCAATGCATTTACCACCAGGTACACGGACTCAGTGAGAATACTGTTTTAGGCTCTGAGATGAAATGATACAGCAGGAGTTGACCTGGTCTTTCTTGTTCTAGGTTTTCTTCCTCCCGGACCCCCACCTCCTATAACTCCACCAGTATCTATTCCTCCTCCTCACACTCCACCAATAAGCATCCCAAACTGTAAGCATGTCTTTCCTGTATGTTGGCTTGATGTCTTGGAGTTGGGGTAGGAGGGAAAATGAGCACATGGTAGGGTCTGTAGTCTGGTTAAAGATGGGTGACCGGGAGCATAACTAATTACTCAGCTTTACATGTCAATGTAATTATATTCCTTAGCTACTATCGCTGGTATAAGTGAAGACACTACAAAAGACTTATCTATTGGAAATCCCATTCCAACAGTGGTGTCTGGGGCTAGAGGAAACGCCGAGTCTGGTGACAGTGCGAAAATGTATGGCTCTGCTGTGCCACCTGCTGCACCCACGAATCTGCCCACCCCTCCTGTAACCCAGCCCGTTTCGCTTCTTGGTAAGTTCATTATTTTTTTATTGTTGGTTTTTTTTCCCCATCAAGTTTGGCTTTTTAAAAATAATGTGAATTTTTGCAAAGTAATCCCCAAGGCAATGTTCCTTTGATCTTAAATGGTTTGTGCAGTTGCTGTTTACCAGGAGACATCTTTATAGATGGCATTGTGGCCTAGTTGTCTTCAGTAAAACATTTCCATCTGCACATGTTAATTGGATATAGAAATTTGATTAGAGTAATTTCTATGAAAGGAATTGTTACATGTTCTTAACATGATTCCAGACTTCCAGCTGTAGCAACTGGTTCCTCATAGATGTTTCTCTGTCTTTACCCATCTGAAACTCCTGGACTTTGAAAGCTTTTTTTAGTATAGAGACTGTCAAGTACATCACCTATGATAATCCTAACAGAATGGCACTGTTTTCTGTGTGAGGGTTGTACAGTTGAGGGATAGCTGAGCCCGTTCTCACCGGCTCCTGGGTTTTCTTCTGGAGCTGCTCCTGCCCACAGCCTCATCACTGCAGTCAAGGGAGGTGCAGCCTAGAGGCTTCGCAGTTACCCTTACGAGGGTGTACTCTAGTGGGCTTCAGCTGCATTAAGTACGTCACATCATTTTTATAATAGCCTGTCTTTTAAATTAAAAAGTCCTATTTGAATTTATATCACCAAGTATAATTAATATTTGATTCTCCTAATGGGAAGTTACTACTTCTGAATATGAGTCCATTTTGTTTTCAGAGGTATGTGTGTTTGTACATTTGCTTTCAGAATCTTACTGCTTTAGGAAAGAATCTGTTGCTGACATGAGATGTAGAATTGTGGGACACTGGTTTCAGGTAGAACACTTTACACCAAAATCTTCTGGATTGAAGTTTTTTACTTTGTGTGTGTGTACCCCATAAATAGTAAAAATGCCAGTCTCTTTTAAAGGTGAAGTTAGGGCTACACCTTAGTGAATATAATGAATTTACTTTAAATTTCCTTAGTACACAGAGGAAGGACTATTTGTTAGAGGAAGACCTGGGGAGATGATTTATTAAATGAAGGGTTGCTTCAAAGGTTACACGGGATGGGGATGACATGGAAGCACCATTGGACTGGGAAACAAGGGGCACCAATCAGTGTTGCCAGACCTCACTAGGCTATAGCTTCTTCTGTATTTCTAATATAGTTGCACAAGAATCTTAGAATCTGAATCAGATGCAGCTTTCTAATCAGCCCATTCCTCCACATCCTCTCCACTTGTGCACAGCTCTGGCTTGGAACAAAATCTTATCTAAGGTCCATAGTTGTTAGGCTACCTGAAACTTACAAAATTGTGTGCATTTGCCATTTTCTTTGGACTTCATAACTTCACTGAGTGAGTAGAAAGATTTCATGATCTCCAAGAGTTTGCTAGCCACTGCTTGTAAGTAGTCCTGTTTGGAGTGAGTACCTGCATCTATTTACCCCAGAAGGTCCTGCCCTTTATTTCTTACCACCACCAGACAATTTAACCTATGCAACCAACATGAAACAAATCAAAAGTTGATAAACTTTAAAAAGTGGTTTGGCATGCACAGCACTGTTAAACACCGACTCTTACTCCAACATACTTATTACCTTATACACCTTTCTGTGTGTCCTTCCTGTCACAGGATGGAAGGTCAGGAGAGGTCATTGATTCCAGTGAGGTGGGATGGGTAAAGGAGTGACTTTTAATGCTGGGCTCTTCACTCTTGGTTATCTCTGTCTATACCTTTTAAAGCAAAATTTGAAAATGGAAGGTTCTTCAAATCCTGGAAGGTTTACAATTTGATACAAGATAAAAATGAAAGGTATTTTATTAAAATACTTTAAACTAACATGGAATAGTCTAGTTCCAGTTGACAGAAGGAAAATCTTGGGTGTGACTTCAGTCAGACATCTGGAAACATGCTGGGCCTTGTGGCACTGTATTCCCAGAACTCGGGAGGCTGAGGTCCAAGGAGCTGGAGTTGGAAGCCAGCCTGAGCTACGTAGCAAGCCCCTGTCTCTAAGAAAGAAATCTTGAAAAAAGATGGTCACATAAATCTTGACCTTTCAGAGAAATGAGTTTTGGTTTTCTTATTATTACAACAATATTATGAAAATATTCTTGACCTGAGTTTTGCATTGTAGTAAAGCAAGCCCTCTGAGGAGGTGGATGGGTTTCTCCCCTGAAGTGCCATTGTGCTCATTCCAAGGCTTCTGGCATGGTGGTACTATTTCTTCCCTCCATCCCCACATTCCAGCATTCTTCTCCTGCCCTTAGTTACCATCTCACACTGTCACCTGTCACAGAACTCAAAAGGAGTCCGGTCTCTGCAGTATTCCTTGGACAGACCTGTAACCAGTAAATTTCAATAAGTGCTCACCCATACTTCTGTCTGCCTGAGAGGGGTGAGCTTTTTTGAAGTGAGGTGTTTTTCTTTTTTGTTGTTGTTGTTTTGTTTGTGTGTGTGTGCAAATAAAGGAGAATTTATTCAAAAGAATCACAGTTCCACCACTTTGATTGAGGAACGCAAGAATCCCACTACGGTATCACAGTGGACCCGGAGCTGGGGTTGTTAGTCTTCCTGTGGGAGCACAGAGGCTAGGTGCTCCCTCTCTTCTTGGTGGCTCTAATGTTTTCTATGAGTCTGTAGAAGGAGATGCTGTGTTGACCAGAGCACCTTAAACCTAGAGGCTAATGCTGAAGTCCCATTTCTTCATCTGTAAGGGGACACAGATGGCATCGACCCGCCAGGGTATGGTGGTGCTCAGTGGCTAACATACAGAACTGCCACCTGGGAGGCCTTTAGTGAACAGTGGGTGCTGTCACAGGTAAGAAGTGCCATGGATGTGTTTAGGACATCTAGAAAAGCCTGTTTGTACTCCATGGTCTGTGCTGACACTGCTGGGCTCTGACTCACTGTAAGCGCTTGTTCGCCCTCAGGTAGAAAGCAAGCTTTTTGGAACAACTGTCTTTGTATAGTTGCTTGTGCATTTTAAGGAGGGTGAGACCAGATCACCAGCAAACAAGTTCCATTATTTGACTTACTCAGAAAATAATGTTAAATCATAACAGCATTTTACTTAATAACACAACTTGGTATTGAAGGTCTTTCCATAGTAGATACTGAATAATTTTCTTGGAATGTATCACTGACGCATTATTTCCAATGTGCACCAGTATTTTTGAAGCAGCAGAAGCCTGTCACATGTTAAGCAGATCAGAATTTCACATTGAGGACTAATTGTAATGGGAAAGGCAGTGGGGTGCCTTGGTGCTACTGACTTTTTTCTGTCATCAGACTTGAGTTTGGGTGTTAGTTTGTAGGTAACTTCCTGCTTCTAGAGCTGAGCTGTGGTGCCCCCCCCTACACACACACACACACACACACACACACACACACACACAAGCCAACTGAATTTGGAAGGACATAAGCTTCCATCATATTTTTAAAAATATTTTGATTCTTTCAATAATACTGATCATTTGAAAATATAAATGACTAGACATACAATTACTCATTATTACTTGATTTTAAAGAACACTGTTTAGCATCTCATGGGCCAAAGTAGCTGAAACCTCTAGTGGTTTTGTCAAAGCTAAAGATGACATCTCCAATTGTCAGTCCTCTAGGCGAGAAGATGGTGACAATTCAGTTCATCCTTTTGATTGTATGAGCATTTATGTTTCCTTTCAAATCCGTTGTATGATATGTATTGCTAATATTATGTACAGCGTATTGATTAAAGAGTTAATGTAAATGTAAAGTTTGGGTTACTTTGGTGTTCCAAACAATAAAAAAGTACACAAAACCTGTTTGTTTGTGTTACCTATCTGTCCTATGTTATAAGGATATCCAGAGTACGTTTCAGATACAAACTGCCAGGTGGAATGAATTCATTCTCTGTGGGAAGTGAAGCCGCTCCCTGACACATGCACTTGCTTGTTAATTACTGATACCAAAAGGTTGTCGCCTTCTCACCTCCCTGCCTTTGTCACACTACTGCAGATGGTAAAGCTTATAAATAAAATTTTATTTCTGAGAATACTCTTACAAGTGGAAGGTTACCCTTTTTTTGCTGTAAGTCACAAGTGGTTTTAAAGACTCACACCTTGGTGTGGCCTATTAGTGGAGTTGCTGCTGGTCCATGGGTTGGTACACTTTAGTCTACATAGCTGCAGCAGGCATTTGAGTTGATCTCCGACTAGGGCACCTCAAGAACAACTGAAGACACAATTGCTTTGTAAATTATATTAAAGTGCCTTTGAGTTTATAGTATATCATTAAGTTAGGAGCCCAGAAACGTGCCTAGAAGATAAATAATCTTACCTACATTTCAGCAGTTGTTTCAACATGGGTATTTGATTTCCAATGGTTTAGCTTTGAATTTCTCTGCTCAATCTCTGTCTTGAACTTTGTAATTTTTATAGCTAGTAATTTAAACAGCATTTAAGTTAGAGCATTAGAGTACCAATCTGCTAGTTGCGTACTAGTCATGATATTAAATCTCAAAGAAAATTAGAGGGTTTTGGGGTTTTTTGTTTTTGTTTTTTTAAAGCGTAGTGCCTAGTTTTTAAAAACAGTGCATTTTAATACTTTTATACTGAACTTTAGTATGATTATGTTAAATTACAAGCTAGAAGGTTGTACCAGAAAGCCTCTTGACATTGTTATATAAGAGTTCTTTTGAAAGCTTTAAAAGTACCTAAGTTGGTGTTCTAAACATTGCAGTGTTGTTCCACTAGTCACTAGTGTCACATCAAAATGGCTTTGCAATATTCCTTACAGTACCTTCCCCTTAATAGATACAATGTTGTTTGGTGGGTGGAGTGGATAGCCAAAAGGAATGGTTAATTGTTTGGTGGGTGGAGTGGAAAGTGCCAAAGGATGGTTAATCTGCAGCAGATTTGCCTAGGATAAGAATTAATGCCTGAATGCAATATGTTAATCACTTTCAACGGAACCTGAGGGAATACTAAGTGGGACATCCAAGGGCTTGCACATTGTCCC